CAATAGAAATGCATTTTTTTCACACAAAGGTATTAATATATGTACTCGTTTTAAGTACACCCTGTTGAAATTAATTATTTTTCTAACATTGGATATGACGTACGTGGGAACACACCCACCGATTATTATAAAATCTTTTGAATATTAGTGTTTTTCAAATATTTCTGTATGGCTTATAGTGAGTTTTATTTTACTTGGCAATACTATATGGGATAACAATAATCGATGAGATAGTATATATATAGTTATACAAAAATTTGCATGTGAAAAATTATGCTTTTTAGGAAACGGTGGTGTAGTGTGTCTGTGTATGTAAACGGTGAATGCATAAAAAAAGTATCTAATAGTAAACAACAAAAAATCCTAACGTTTCGTAGTATGTATTGATTACTTAGGTGTTCGCATTTTTGCAAATGCTTGTACATTATTTGTATTTTATAGTCTTTCTCGTTACGATTAAAAAGCTAACGTATTTGTTTTGACAAAAACAAAACATTCAAAACAACTCAACAACAACTACGGTCTTATGTCAGTATAATATTTTTATGGACGTTGTCGATTTGGTTGTATTTAATGTGGTGTGACAAACTTATGATAAAAAAAAAACCTTTCAAAATTACTATTGTTAAGTGTTATTGTGGCGAAAAAAATATGGAAACATTTCTTTGTAAAAAATCACCTTTAAGTACTTCGTTGGGTCAAAAATGTTAAAAAGTCACCCCTTCCCCTTTAAAAATGAGAAAAAACACCCAAAATATTTATATATTTTTCAACGAAAATACGGTGCTTCATAACTTTTTTTAAAAATAATTTAATTAATTCCAATTTTGTATGGAATATTTTTTCAACATAGTACTACCGATAAACATTGACAAACCAAAGAAATATAAGAAATATAATATTACCTTAAGTCTTAAAAGGGATAGACATTTTATGTTTACATTACTTTTGCAAGCAAAGTTTTAAGAGTTGAGATTTAAAAATTTTACCGAAGGTACATTTAAAAATGTGAATAATTAATCACCATAAAGATAACAAGATACCAAATTGAATACCGAAAGTAAAATTCTGGGTAATGCCGGGTAAATCATAAATAGGAAAAAAGTTAGAAGAGTGGAGTCAATACATTTTATTTGATTTTTATTGTTTTGTTCGATACGATAGACAATCTATAGTAGTTGTTTTGACAAAAAAAAAAAACGTTAATAACAACTCAACAACAAGTACGGCCTTATGAAAACAGAATAATATTTTTATGTACGTTGTCGATTTTTTTGCATTTGTACCTGTTATTTGTATACGTTTGTTGTACCATATGTACAACAAACATAAGAAAAATCAAAAAAAACCTTTTGAAATTCTATTGCGCCGAGCTATTGTAGCGAAAATAAAGTGGAAAAAGCGTTGTAAAAAATTCACCGAGAAAATATCTATGTCGAACAAACGTGAGTTTGTGCTGTCTTAGGCTGTTGACGTTCGTCATACCCATTCGACTGTCCTGACCTAACGGGTCGTCGTTAGTCCGTATAGCTGTTACTACTGATTTAAATTTTTGTCATAAAAAACAAAAAATATGCTATTACATATTGGCATAGGATTGGGTCTTTTCTAATATTTATTTTTACAATTATAATGTTCTACAGTTGCAAGATCATTTTACCCTCCAAACTACATTAAACAATAAAACTTGAAGAATAATGAATATTATGAAACATTTTTTTTTTAACAATTAATAGTACATAAAACAAATCGGTTATAAAAAATGTTAATTATAATAATTTATTAAACATTTTCAGCATTTTTAGAAATAACAAAAAAACTGCTAGTATGTTTGTAAAACACAAAAACTTATATTATCAACCAACTAACAGTCATTTGAAAAAAGAATGATAAAATTGCATATTAAATTACACTTTTATAACCGTGGTCGTGGTCGTGGTCCTGGTGGTGGTTGTGGTCTTGGTTGTGGTCGGGGATTCAAAGCTGAAAAATCGAAAAAACATTCCTTAAATATTTTTTTTATCCTAGTGCATCGTGTCTAAATTATGTATATTTATTTTTATCCAAATCCATTTAATTGCATTGTAGCTACATGTAATACTCTTAAAATAATATTATAACTAGATTTGAAAAATTATACAATATTTTCATGAACATGGCAACCGTATTTTTATTTTTGACAATTCAAGGCACTATTGTAGCAATTTATACGCATTTTAAGCATTATTAAAAATAAGTTTAAAACTGCTAGTATATTTGTAAAGCACATAAACTGATATTATCCATTAACTTACGTTCATCTCCCGGTACACCTGAAATATTAATAAAAAAAATATTTAAATATTTTTTTTTATCCTTGTGTATAAAATTATTATGTATAAATTATATATTTGTATTTTAATCCAAAAGCGTTTCGTTTTATTATAGCTATATAATATATGTTTGACGTATAAGTTAAATATGTAAAATAATTTTATTACTGGATAATCAAAATTATATAATATTGCTAATGATTATACAGGGTGGCCAACAATGATTTGACAAATAAAATAACTTTTGTGCTAGTTAATATTTTTTTTTAATGATTTATACTCATTTGCGTTATGAGCACCGCGATTTTTATTGGACTTGCCTGTTTTACTTTTTTAGATATAAGTATATATATTTGTTTGTTACAATTTTATTTTAAAATATTCCATTAACACTTAAACATAGATGTGTATAATATATAAATAACTTAATGAGTATATATAGTTTTGAATTTATTTTTCTAAAAAAATCATCAGATGTCATACTAAAAAAAATTTTACTCTTATGGAAAAGCATTTTATTTTAACATATAACCTCATTATTGTTAAATTTTTTTTTAAATGTTTTTATATACCTACCTTTAGACATAGATATGATCATGCATAATACGGTTGTTATAATCAGAAATACGCTTTTAAAATTCATATTCTTAAATAGTATCTTAAATATGTATTTTTAAAATGCTAAATGAAGTATAAATTTTCGGATTACAATTAAAGTATACCACCAAAGAGGGTGAATGCTATAACTCGAGTAACAGTACTGTAGCAATGTAAAAAAATATGAAAACTCTTAAAAGTTTAACACATTGAACATTGTCATATTTTACAAAAATAAATTTATAGTTTGGTTTTTGGTCGAAAACAAGTTTTCATAAAAAATTTTTTTATATAGCTTTTATATATATATATATATATATATATATATTAAAAAAACTATGTACACAGCCCTAGAACGATGCGCCTCTTTATTTAGTGAACATTGTCAAAGGTGTACATTAGCATAGTTCGCGACAAAATGAATATACACTAAACTACATGATAATATAATTTGACATGCATGACCTAAAAAAGGAAATGCAAATGACTGTTCTAACTACAGGACAATATCTATTTTATCCCATGCATCAAAAATACTCCTATATGTCATAAAACATAGGTTAAAGAATATAATCGAAAACCAAATAGGAGAAGATCAATTTGGTTTTAGGAATGAAAGAGGGACAAGAGAAGCGATACTAGCACTACGTCAAATTCTTGATAGAAGAATAGATGTAAACAGTAATACATATGCCATTTTCATAGATCTAGAGAAGGCGTTCGATAAAGTGAATTGGAAGTGTTTATTTAGAACGTTGAAAGATAATGGAATTGATTGGAGAGATAGAAGACTTATTTTAAAACTATACAAAGCTCAGACAACTACAATTGATATAAATAGAAAAACAAAACAAGCTAAAATTAGAAAAGGAGTCAGGCAAGGATGCCCACTATCACCATATTTATTTAATATCTTCATTGAAGCATCAATAAATGAACTGAAAAGTAAGACGGGAGGAATAAAGATCAATGGACGAAGGGTTCACAGCATACGATTTGCAGATGACATTGTATTGCTAGCTGAATCTCAAAATGATATGAATAAAATGCTCAACACCTTGGCAGATATATTTGATAAGTACCATCTGAAGATTAATGAACAGAAAACAAAAAACATGTTGATAAGTAAGATAAATAACAATGATGAGGTACATATCAATCTAAGGAACAATCCGATACAGCAAGTTAATGAGTTTTGCTATCTGGGAAGCTTAATTACGAATAGAAGCCAATCAACAGCGGACATAAAGAGAAGAATAGCTCTCGCCAAACAAGCTTTCCTTAAGAAGTATAATATACTTCTAGTAATAAGCACCTCAAGCTTGAAACTCGTAAAAAGTTTATTAGAACTTTTGTATGGAGTATATTATGTTATGGATGTGAGACGTGGACAATGACGCAAAAAGATAAAAAACAATCTGCAAGCAATGGAGATGTGGTTGTGGAGGAAGATGATTAAGACCAATTGGATGGAACGGAAATCAAATGAAACAGTTCTAGATGAAATAGGAGAGAAAATAATTCTAATGATTTACATAATAGAAAGGAAAATCAAACTTATTGGGCATATCATTCGTCACAATGACAATTTTTTTTTTTTTTTATAGTATATTTTTTTCAGCCGAATAATAATAATAATGTAAAAACAGTTACAATTTTTGGTCGTCATAAATGTTTAATAACTTGCTTAGCGACGGATAAATCAAAATCATTACTTTTATTTATACATCAATTTGAACACTTATGCTCTCAACAAAATCCAGTGATCCAGTGAATTCAAAACTGACAATTCAATTTGTATTTGAATTTTGATATCGAAGAAAACAAATTGACCCATTCAATTGCATTTTCCATACATATTATGTTTGTTCTTGTTATAATATTTTATTTTTACTAAAAATCCGACTTTAACATATCAATTTCACAAAAAACATATGTATTCATTCGTTTTATTATAGACTCGAAAGACATTTTTAGTTAAATAGAAATAACAATTTGAAACGCGCGTAATTCAAGCGGGATTATATAGATAACAAAATAGTTGGCCTTATCATTAACGTATAAGATATCTATTGATAACGTCATCCACTTGTTCATTCTAATTTGAAAATTTTACCTTTAAAAAATTGAATCGCCTACGGTTTATTGGGTTTTCTGTTTTTTTGCTTTGTTAAACCTCTATCGTGTCTAGTTTCTACTAAACGGTATGTTATTATTTTGTTAAATAGTTTTTATTTTTGATTGTGATGGGACATATTTTCCTTTCTTAGTCCGTCTAACTCTCAGTTTAGGAATTTAGGTATATTTGTGTTCCTGCGTACTGATCGATCTGCTGATGTGATGAGGAATCTTAAAACATATTTGAATACCTTGAAATCTTTTCCAGGGACGACATGATCATTTTATATAATTTTGAACTTAAAAATGTCCAGTATTCAATTATAAAATAAAATATCACCAAAGAATCACATTTTAGACAAAATCAAATGAAATAAGTTGTTAGGTCGTCTTTTAGATAATGAAGCATTCAAATTTATTTACAGATTCCTTATCATATCAGTAGATATTACATCGAACTGTGTACCGTTAGAACTAAAATACGTCTAAATTGCTATAAATATTGTGTTAGATAGACCGAAACAAAATATGTCACTTTCCAATTGGCTTTATTTTGAAAATTTATTACAAAGCATGTTATATTTTACTTGTAGACAAACACAATTGTTCAACATGTTTCCAAAGTACTCTCCACATAACATACCAATCAAAACTTTGAGCCTTATGTATGAACATTTTCGAATCTTATACGGGTTCTTCCAGTAAGTTATGTTTTATGACATAATTATAAGCTTGATTCTAAAATGATTATTTTATTTTGTGAATTGTGTTCAAAACCTTTTTTTAAAAGAATTAAGGAGTAATAACAATATTTTCTAATATTGTTATAGTGTTATGTACTGATTGTTTTTAAAATTCTAGTATACATTGCTGGCACTAAATAATTACCCTAAATGTGTTGAAACCTAATTTTTCAGGTGACACAAAAAATATTTTTAAAATAAACAACTGTTAAAAAAACATTAGTTATACAACTAGAATAATTTTTTAGTTCTTAGATGCTAACCTATGTATTTCTATAATTTTAAACTTTTGTTAATTTTAGCATAGCTTTAGTTCTATAAATTATTAAAAAAATAAAAGATTTCATAAAATTATCCTATTTGTTTGTATTCTTTAAATAGCAGTATATTTGTTTGCTTATTATGTGGAATTTTTACAAACTATATTTTATTATATACTTTTGTTATTTAGAATATTTTTGTCCAGCTTTTAACATATGTTTTTATTAGTTGTTTCGGATTCTTCATGTACATGATCAACTAATAATTATCGAAAATAAATACATTGGCTAAAACAAATTAACTTGTCAAAATTTCACTTTATTATTTGTAGTTTTTAATAAATTTTTATGTTTTAAGCCATTTTTATACCGTTATATATGTTTTTTTTATTATACATTTATTATTAATAAAGATACATTTTTTACAGAGAGCAAACCTTATGCGATGTAACGTTGATATGTGATGATGGCGTTCAAATTTCAGCACATAAAGCAATTTTAGCATCCGCAAGCCCTATGCTATTAGCAATGTTCAATGGTGGCTTCAAGGAGACCAAAAAAATTAGTATACCTATTAAAGACATCGAGTCTGGTATTTTGAAGTCAATTGTAACTTGTGCATATACGTTTCAGATGGATATCCAGGAAAATAATCTTGAGGTAATATTATATACAAAACGGATACCAAATTATTATCTATAAACACATTTATTGTAATAATTTTAAATTTTATTTGTATTTTAGAAACTAGTGAGAGCTTCTGACTACTTTCAATTTAACTATACTAAGGATTTATGTTAAGATTATGTTAAAAAAACATAAATATCACTAATTGTTTCAATTTTATGAGATTTGCTGAATCTATATCACAAAAAGGACTATACAATTATTGTTTCTTGTATTGTTTAGACAATTTTAAGTAAGTGTTTTAGATTGGAATTAGTTTTGAGAACATTTTAAACTATACTAAATGTTTTATTCCTAGTACAATTCTGGAAACTGAATCGCAAATAGTACAATTATATGAATTCAATTTGGAAGATATTGTTAAGCTCATATCAAACGATCATTTGATGGTTAAATCTGAAGAAAAGGTATTCTAGCAAAATGAAAAAATACAATTTATTTTGATTTCTTTTAAATGCATTTATGATATACTTACACTCCTAACAAATAATGTTTATCTAAAGTTTTTTTAAAAAGTTGAAAAAGTCAGAAAAAATCCTTTTGACATTTATGTCAAAAAATGGAATCATTATTTTTGTGAGGAATTTAATTGGGAAATATAGAGAAATAGCAGCAAAGTTTATTAGACATTTTTGTAAAACCAGTATTTTAATAATTTGATTACTCTTTTTAGTTCTTATTACTTTAATCAGTATTAGTCTGTTATAATTACTCACACCTATTTTCTTACTAGGTTATAGTACTAAATAATGATTTATTTAATAAATTATGTATGATTTTACACATAAGATGTTAATATTTATTATAGATCTTTGATTTTATTATGGGATGGATAAAACATGATATAGAGAAACGAAGTAGACATTTATCAAATTTACTAAATTATTTGAGGTTACCTTTAATTTTGGAAAAAAATTTCAAACGAATATGTGATGAACCTTTACTAAAAATTGAAATTAAATGTAAGTACTTACACTGATTCCAATCCCACTTTAATATAATATAATATATAGATATTGAGTCTTCTATAGTTTACTTTTGAAATTATTTTCCTGTTGCATAACACTGTTAAATTTTGTTTTATTCTTTCAAGGCTTGAATGATATAATGTATAAAAAATGATTTGACAAGGTTGACGAAAATATTAGAAAAGCAGCAAAGAGGACACCTCCTCATTTTATACCAAATGTATGTACATTTGTTTTACTTACCTTATTAATAGCATGCCATATAGTAAAAAAATATTTTTTAATATTGCACTAATTTGCTATTTTTAATTTTTTTAAGCAGGTATCAAACACAAATAAAACATATGTTTCAATATTTCTTAAATATATTTTTGCTGTATGGGATATATCTAGAGAACTTTTTACATTTGTAGAAAATAAAATATTTAATAATTTGCTTCAGACTATTTTCGCAATTAAAGGTCAATCCGATGATGATGATTCTTATGTAATGTATATGGATTTTAGGTATGAAAATGATCTTAATTGGAAATCATGTAATTATTCATTTTTTTGTCCACCTCGTCGTGATGCAACTTTTGTCGTTTCGGAAACTGGAATACTACTTGCAATTGGAGGTTATGATGAAATAGAAAAATGGAGTAATTGTGTTTATGAACTTGAACTTACTTCTACATCAAAAATGCGGATACCTACAACGCCTTTGCATAGATCATAATTATATTTTTCTGTTTGCACTCAAGGAAAGTATATATATGTGGTGTGTATCAATTTATATTATGGAAAACAATATACCTGAGTCCAAAATTATGTAACATATTGAAAATATATATTTAATATGCGTCTTTTTACTCTCTATTCCGCATAGGTAGGAGGTGATGATACTTTAAGAGAAACATTAGATTCAATAGAATATTATGACACATATTCGAAGGAATGGACTGTAATAGAAGAGCCATTGCCAACCGCTCGGAGTTTCTGCTGTTCAGTAATTCACAACTCTCGTTTATATGTTGTAAGTATGAAATTATATTTAATGTGTTGTATACAGGTATAGACAGTAATAGTTTAATCTATAGGTTTTAGTAAGTGACAATTTGAATAGGCTTATGGTTTTGTATACATTATTTATGTTATATTAACATGTAGCGCAGTGTTTTACTTAGGTGACATATGAAATCTGAGGTTAGGCTAAATTGATCTTATATTTATTAATTAAATTAAACACGAGGTTTTCAATCGTCCCCTATAGTACCAGTATCCTTTTTACCCAAACAAAACTATCCAACAACCTTACAAGCTAATAACCATAACAACAAAACCTAAAAAAAGTGTAGTTTAAATGTTATATATTTCATGTAATTTATTTTTTATCCTATAAAGTTTGGTAGACTTTTAGATATCAATGTACTATTAAGTAGTATAGAGTGCGATAATTTGCAAGAAAAACGGTGGACTGTTAAACGTGATATGAGCAGCTACTTCTTTAATAGACATAACAAGCAGAGAAAATAATTAATATTTATTTCAAATTATGCAAATATAGAACATTATTATTTATTATTGTCTACTAATGGACAGTGTTTTCTGCTACACAAATAAAACTTTATCCATTAAACCAATAACAAAAGCTGCCAAACTTAAAAAAAAAAATTGTAAATGATTTTACGTTGTACATGTAATGCAATTGATTTTTTTTTCTATGAAGTTTGTTGGAAATGACGGTGAAGACCTTTTAAGTAGTGTATACTGCTATAATCTACAAGAAAAATGTTGGACTATGTGTAATCTTATGCCTACAGCTACCGCTACAACAATGGGCATTACAAGCAGAGGAAATGATTTATATATATTTGGCGGTCATGGAACACCTAAAGGTGCTTACAAAATGAACATAAATGATTCAAAATGGGATACTCTACCCGATATGATCAACGCAAAATATTTTGCAAGTGAGTGAATAGTAATAATTATGTTTGAGAAATATTATCGGAATATATAACATATTATTATTATCATATTCGGATCTAGCCATGTTGTCATTGGCTATCTGACGTTTCAATCCTATTGCAGTCTTAGAGCAATTGTAAACGTTTTACTCTTGTGACAATACTGTAGTACGGTGACTATCGCTTTGACACAGCAATTGGTTAAAATCGTCAGTATAAATAATGACAACGTAAATAATTCCAAAAATGATGAAACTAATACTATGAAAGATTTAACTCGTGCATATGATTTATTCATAACACTTTATTTTTTAATGCAGATGCCGTTACTATTAAAAACAATTTTTTTGTTGTGGGAAAGAATACTGCTTGGTGGTACACAAAAAATGATGAAAAACCCAAGGGAGTCTTTTGTGAAAGATATATTGCTGGAAAAAACATATGGCAAGAGATTGAGTCATCAAATATATTAAGTGATTATGATCACATAATTTGTCTTAATGATGCGAGATTGAAAACATTTAATATTGACATATCATAAAAATTTTAATATTATATACTATGAAATTGAAAAAATATTTTTTTAAAAGATAATCAAAACTGAGTAATACTAAGTAGTGAATATAAATATATATTTAATATACATTATACAAGTTTAATTTGTTTTTTGCTCCAAACACAAAGAGAAATAGAAACATCATTGTAAAATTAATATAACTGATTTTGATGGATTAAATTCTCAGTTGGCATTAAGGCTAAACAATGTTGAATAGGACAATATATTTTTTACTTTGGTCCAAAGATAAATACTTTGTGTCTTATAGATCATAAATCGTTAATTTATGAAATTTTAAATTTTTTTTTCACTGTTTTAAGGTTTGCATCAGTGTTTGAAATGTAAAATTTTTTTAAATGTAATAAATATGTCGTGTCGTACTTGGTACTTGAATAGCACTGTTGCTATGACTTTAAGTGTCCACAAAAGCAAATTATCGTTAGGCCAGGAAATTAGTATCTAAGATCTTCATTGTATTTAACTTTTGAAATGTGAATCGATTCCTTGTTAAAATAATTAAACCTTGTCAATTGTTATGTAAACAACATAGTAAAAACTATAATATATTTCTTTTCACGGTAAGGACAATTTTAGCTCTTTGAACAAGTCTCATTACTCGGTACACTTCTTAACTACATTCTTATTTTACCATCGACTAGTCTTTAATTTTAGTTGGGGTCGGTCCATTTTACTGAACTGCTGAACTGTATGTTCGGTTGCCTATATCATGTACTGAAATCCGGTAATCTGCTGAGCTGTATACTGCGTTGCCTATATTAAGGGGCAAATATTATATTTTTATTTATAACTTTTTTAAACGAATTAAATTACATTTTATTCCAATTTATTTAATCTATTTATTTCTTTTTTATTTTGTATTGTTATTGTTTTGGGTCATCAAATATATTACGGGACTATGATCTCATAATTTGTCTTAATGATGCATGATTGAAAACATTTAATATTGACATATTATAAAAATGTAAATATAATTTACCATGAAATTAAAAAACCTATTTAAAAAAAAAAAATCAAAATTGGTTAATACTTTGCAGTGAATATAACAATACATAATACATAATAAATATCCATTATACATGTTTAATTTGTAGTATTTTGTTGGTTGATTAAAATTTAAGTGGTTATTTAAATTTTAAACCCACCCTTAGTCTTTAAAATACCCCTGAATCTTAATAAATAAAAAAAAAAAAATTTTCCCTTATAGTGGGAAAGAGTTAATGATATTATTTTGGTTTATCAATGTATATTGGTAGTACTATCTAAAAAAAAGTACACAAGTTTGAAACTAAACTAGCTACATTAGTCAGTCCAATAGTTAAATAAAACATTTTTTGGTCCAAACTCAAAAAGAAAAAAAACCATCATTGTAAAATTGATATAACTGATTTTGATGGATTAAATTCTCAGTTTTACATTTAGGCTAAACAGTTTCCAATATTACAATATTTTTTTTCTTTGGTCCATAGAAGTAGACTGTACAGTAGACTTACAGATCATAAATCATTAATTTTTGAAACTTTAAATTTATATTTTTACTGTTTAAAAGGTTGCATCATGAATGTTTGATAGCCAATTACAAAAACTTACTAGTAATACTGTTTTTGGCTTCTGTTAAAATCTGAAAATATGTTTAACTACAATTAATTACACAACGCTTAAACAAGCAGAAAGCAATCAAATATGAATACATTTAAGTATTTGAAAAATGTCATAAATATATTGTGTAGCACTTGAATAGGACTGTTGCTACTACTTCTGGTGTCCACGAAGGCAAACGGTATTATCGTTAGACCTGGAAATTATCACTGAAGTATCTTTATCTAATTTAACGAAACAGCATGTCGCCGCAATATTTTAACCTACCTGTCCATCACAGCCGATTTATCCGCTCCTTATGATGCTAATTTACTAAATTCACATAATTTGTTTTTAATATTTTGGCACAACAGAAACGTATTTTACACAATCTCTGAGGTCAGCCTACGATTACATAACAATTATTTATAAGGCTACCATAGCTTGACATTTCTGTTGATGCCACAAGTAGAACAACACTTTTGCGGTCCACTAACTAAAATATTGTGTTACATAATGTACAGCTCAAGTTATAGTTGACGGGTTATAATATTTGTTTATAAAAACCGACATCCACAACACCATTTTTATTATATCATATCTTTATAATTCTAAGTAATAACTAATATGTGGGCCATTAGTTTATTTCCCTTAACGACTAAACCATCACTTTCAGCATGCCCAAAGTAATCTCTTGTCTATTCCATCAAATTTATCATGTCATTAAGAAACTCAAATGTTCAATTAATATATTTGTAATAAAATATTAGTTTATTTACTATTAAATCGAACGGCTCTTCGATCACATTTACTAGTTTGTGACACTTAAGTTCTATTATTTTTTAATAGAGTATTAAAACTGCACAAGTGATGCTGTCTAGTCTTTAAATTCAATCGCCTAACTATTTCTTATGAAATGTAAATCGATTCCCTGTTAAAAACAATATTAACCTTGTCATAAACAAAATAGTAAAAACTATATTATTCATAATCTTACTAAAGATTTCTCGACATTGTTAAAATGTGTAACATAATTATGTAACTCCGTTTCAATGATATTATTTTTAATATTTAAATAGTAATGGCGTTTTGTGTTTGGTGTATAATTTCAAATGGGTTGTTTTTTTTTCAATGAGCATTTTAAGGTAAACTAAACCTGTTCGGAGAAACAACGTGATCCTTAAAAAGTCGATTTTCTATTTTTAAACCTCCTTAAAAACATACCGCATGCAATACCCTTGAGTATAAAAACTTTTTTTTTGAATATTTGAACAATACTCGTGCACATTATTTTTCTACTTATTTACTACATTTTTAGACGTTTAAGAAGCGCTCGGTTGTTTTCAATTTTTGACAAAGTCTAAATGACGTAACCGTTTTAATAGCAGTAGTTAACATAATTATTTATTTTTTGGCAATTTATTGTAAATTATAATAATTAATTATCGGTCAAAAAGCTAGTTTAATAAAAGAATACATGATGTGGGTTTTAAAATCATTTCCATCATTTCTTTGGATTTAGAAACGTGTTAATAATTATAAAATATAAGTTTTCAGACTTATCAATGGCCAATATTGTTTAATTGGTTGTATCGATTATTTTTTAACAGTTACATTATTTTTAGAAAAAAAACTAATTATATTTATTTTTATTAAAATAACATATTTTTTTTGGTAACATTTTGGGATTTTGCAATGTACCATACTGCTATAATTATTTCGATTTCTTAATTTTTTATTAATTTACAATATGAAATATAAACATATATTTTATAAGATTAAATTGAAAATCTATTCACTTGCTGTTAAAACGAAATAGTTTTTGTGTTTTTCGCAGTTGTTGTTGTTGTAATTGTTCTTATTTGTACAATTTTTTCGAATACGAAAATATTTCACTGTAAAACATTTTTTTTTTTTTTTTTATCGATTTACTACCAATAATTTTTATAACGTTATGCTTATTGTCGTTTTCAAGTTGCCACAGTATTTTGTGTCCTTGAAAATGATTTTTCCGTTGGAATAAATACAAAACCAATTTTACATGTACACTATACAGTAAAAAAACTACGGTTAAAAAAATCTAATAAAGAAAACTTTTCCACCACCTAAAAATATTCACCGGTCATTTTTATTTTTTTAATTTAAAGCCTTTTGAAAAATTCAATGATATGGTTTTATCATTTTCGTTACTTGTCTAAATAATAATTGTATAATATATATTTTCTTACTCAGAAGCGTCTCAAAAACATGTTAAGTTGTGTTATTTTTTTGAAATAAGAGGAAAACATATTTTAATGAGAGGTTTTCCATGCTTGTTTAAACAGTTACTTATTAGCCCTACACCAATGCACTAAATAAGAAATGTATCAAAACAAAAAAACATCTTTAAAATCGGCGTAGTTAGGTTAAATTTGAAGTCTTCAAAGTTTACACGATTTTGATTATTATTATATTTTTTTTGGGACTATTTATTTTTACTTGAGCAATTATAAAAATAGGACAATTGTCAGTATTCCGACCAAGCCTACCCAATCCCCCTCCCCCCTTGGTTCAATTATAATAAGGAATGGTATATTTATAGTGCTTATAATCGTATAAATACTAGATCCGCCTCTGGCTTTGAGTCCTAAAATTTATTCTTATTTTATTAGATCTCGCTCATTATTTCCTCGCTATTTCCTGTTCTGTTAAAGTAATGCAGTTTCTTTCCAGGTCCCAGGTAACCCTGAGATCACTAAAAATGAGTTGATTCCATTGCTAGCTCAACTTGATCTCTTCCCGATCCACATGGACTTGTCATCCACAGTTAGGACATTCTTCGGCACTACCAAAAAAATAAAATTGTTTACAAGTGAGGCAAATGTGAAATGGTCCTCCTTTCCTCCCGACCTTTCTAATATGCCATCGTCTTGGCAGCCCTAACATCAGCCCCTAGCCTTGGTTACACATCATATCCTTTTCTATTCAAATATCTGTGCATACATTTTTGTATTGTATTTAATTATATTTAAAGTTGGTTACAATCTAGGATGATATGACAACTTATGGCGTTGTTTAATAAAGGGCCAATAAACGTTTCGGATCCGAGATAAACATTAAGATGTGGGAAATATATATTGGTGATGTTTTGAAAAGAAACATCACAGTTTTGAATGACTGTTCTTATAACGTCATAACTTCATTTCATATTTTGTTTGCACCGCGACATTCAAATATTCAACCAGTCGTTGTGAAAATTACTGCACAATAATATATAGTGTGTAAAAAAATAATATGTGTACACCGTTGGTTTCTGTACAACAAGGGGATTTTAATTAAAGCTAAAAAATGCTAGTTGTATTATACAACTTAAATACTTATAATAATTAGGTATGCTTTAAACCCTAATTGTATCATTGTATGTAGCTGCATATCTTTAGGGAAGAAATTTAAAAATAAAATCATTC